TGGAGACATGGAATTGTACCTTTCAACTAGGTAGGATACATCGATCAAACTTTCTCTGTTTTGTTGCCTGCGGGCTTTGACCTAAAAGTAAGTGTCCGTGTGTCAACCTTGCATGCCCTATCCTTAATCGGGTGAGGATTCTTCGACGAGTCAGGGCCTCCGAGGTGCACCCATCGACAGTGCTCTTGATTCGCGAAAGCTTCTCCGCCGATCTAGCCCACCGACGTTGCCATTTTCTTTCATTCATGATGGTTATTGAATTATTTAGCGCCAGGGGCCGAATCGTAGTTGTTAAGTCCTGAGGTTGGGAAGTCCCCGGCTTAGCTTCCTCTTCTGCCTTTTCGTTACCCCCAAGATTTATGTGTTCAGGTACCCAAATAATGACCACCGAGACGATGGAACGACCACGACGGACCTGTATCAGCAGTATCCGTACTGAGGGAGTTGATGCAGGCAAAATAAATAGTCCCAACATTCATCTCATTAAAGCGCATACAGTTCCGCCGTGTAAACGATACAGTGCTGTGGGAACGTTCATGTAATGGACGCATCTTCGCAATACACGATTGCCACACCCTCCCGACTTTGACCCGTCCGCCAAATATGGTGTATTTCGAACTATGGTCCATGATATGTCCATCGTTCAGTAAAGGTATGGGGGAGTTGACGACTATGTGTTCTAATACGGCGAGATGGTCTCAGCAAGAAGGACCCACGGCGGAGTCGGCCGGTTGTCTAGCTCGAGGACCGTTCACAGATCTCCAAACTGTTCCCCTTTTCTATTTTCATGCTTAAATCTTGATTATGTAAATATATTTAAATATGTTATCGTGGTATCCTCTTCTTTCCTGAATCTTATCTCCACTTCTGGCAAGAAACAGTTCTCAGCCCATGCACTTAGTCGTTCATAGAGGATGTTTGGCTAATTTTATGTATTTTTAACGCAAGAGAACTGATGAAGTTATGTCCACTTCTCCTAACTTTCCTGTGGCTCATGCTGTCCATTTTTCAGTGACCAAAATTAAATTGTATCAGTAAATACGTTGGAGACACGAAAAGATAATATTGATAAAAATTTTGTTAGGGCTATTGAATATGGCAATTCTATGATAATTATATGAGTACTTTTTTGTTTGAATTAGCTTCAATTTAATACCTGGGACCAAGATTTGGGTATGTTTTCAGAAGTTAAACTTTATTAAATGATGACTGAAAAAAGTAAGACAATTGTTTCCCATATGGAATTATTGGAATTATTCATTGGGTATTAAATCTATGCCAACAGCTTTACACAACTTACCATACATTTGTTAGTACAGTGTTTCAACGTAAGATAAGCAACCTAAATTAAAAACCCAATAAAAAATTGATTTATAAATTTGGGAATAATAACAAAATTGAAGTCAAATAGGTTTTGGATGAAAAAATATCCAAGTGTTCTAAAGTTTAAACAATCGGCTCATCCTCAGCAGCCCAACTGACTTCTTTAACCTGAGTCTCCGTTCAACGGACGATTTGACACTATTTGATAGGCCGTTTAAGCAGTTTGTTTGCTTTTCCAATGGTACAACGAAAAATGCACCATCCTGTTCTACAAATTATTCACACTCCTTAAAACAGGACAGTAATCCCTCGCTTTCATTGTCAGCGACATAGTATAATATTTTTTCTAAGAGAACAACAAGCAGGAAAGGAAATGGTGAATTATCTAAAGGATAATTTTGCAGTTTTGTCGTTTATGGTCATTTTGTTTCCCTTCTCTCCGTTTTGTACGTCATAGGCGTTTCGGCCTTTTGCCAAAGTTGAAATACGACAAGCGACATTTCTGATAAAGTAACACACAAAGAAACCACCAATGGCGAAATACGCGTCTAACAGACCAAGCCGGCGACCTCCAGACCCCAAGAGGAAATCTCACAATTCAACGGTAAATGTTCTGTCTCCCGCACGCTTTTTATGACAACCCAAAACGTACGGTTTAAGCTGTCATCAATTTGGTCATAAATGACTAGTCCATTCTGCCGGTCACTTGACCAAGACGTCTTAAGGCAGAATACTTCTTTATGAATAAATAAAAACTTAATAAATTATAAAAAACATGATAATAAAATGTCAATTTTACAACAGACATTTTGCGATTTAAGATCTGCTTTATTTGATTTTATATATTTACTATGATAATGAAATATAATGGTGATGATAAATGTAAGATAATGATAAAAATTATCATATATGTAGATTGTAGTGGTTTCCTGGTCATGGTCATCAAGTGGGTTCCTCGTTATTTTTAAGAGTGTATTAATTAGCATGGTTAAATGCATGTGGACATGACTGTGGCAAAAGATATACTACCTCAGTAAACTGTCGAATTTTGGCTAGTTGATTTTCAGTTTCATCTTCGTTCGTCTTGTGTGAATGAATTTATTGGCGCGAATGAGAAGAGAACCTTGATGTGACATAACCGTGTCTGCCACTAACCGTTGATTAATTCTAATTAATAGTTTTTCAGATTAGTCTTAAGGGGTGGGTCTCAGTGGAAACAGTACTTCAACCATATTCGGATATTATGTCTTTAAGTGTGTTTTTAACATATTATTTATTGAAAAAACGTCCTTCAATATAAGGAGACATATCTATTGAATATTATTATATGCCAATATAAAGCACTTTTCTTCAATAAAAAATAATAAATGTCTTTAAGAAACTATTGCCATACTTCTTCGCCGACATAAGAAAAAGAGTAAGCGAGTTGGATCACTCGTTCGTGCTGGCTATGAGTCCTTCTAGTTTCTATATCTGTATTACATCAAATTTCTGTTAATCCTTCATTCAATGAACTTTCCGATGTAATATTCTAAAAATGAACTTTTGTCTTGTCAATCTGAAAGCAAATCAAAAACAGATTGAAGACATCAACGCCCGGAACCCAGGCTGTCAAGTATGCCAGATTTCAATCATTCAGTACTCTCAAAGATTATCCTTCAATCATAAATAGTCTATATATTAATATTAAAACAATAAGATAAATAAAAAATTGAAGGAATGGTACATTTTATGATTGATGTAGATATGTCGGACCTTTCTCTCCTTGGCTGTTATGTCAGGATGTGATTGAGAGAAATGAATTTTTTATTTCGTCATAAACATAATATTAAGAAAATGGTTCCAATCACGTATACCGCGGAATCCAGTAATTATGGAGAAGCAACATCCATAAGTGGAATCTGAAATAGTGCTTGGGTGTGTATGTGTGTTGGTTACGTTAGTTGGGAGGTTTTTATGAAATTTACGGTAACGGAAACGTATTTCATCTTGTACGAAAGGAATATGTAAATCTGTATGTGTAGTTTGGTTCGATACATAAAATGGAGCATCTAGTATTTTTCGTAGAATTATACACAGGGCGGTTTGAATGCGGTGGATATTGGAATGTTTGGCTGAACCCCACACTTCCAGTCCGTAAGTTCAAATCGGCTTAACTATGGTGTTGTAAAGCAGCCTTTTATTTTTGAGAGGTAAATTAGAGCGTTTGTCAAGAAGTCGTACAAGAACTTTAAATCGTGTCATAACCTCCTGACGTTTCAGTCTTGCGTGAGGATTCCACGTCAGGTGTTTGTCGATGTTCAATCCGAGGTACCGCACCTTGTCCGCAGTTGGGAGGGGAATATTGTTTAACAAAACAGGGGGGAGATCTTTCTACGAAGAGTGAAAGTAATGTGGGTGGATTTGTCTGTGTTAAATTGTATCCTTTTCTTTTTACACCAAGACTCTAGTAGTATGAGGTGTTGTTGGAGTTTTGAGTGGAAATGACAAGGTCGGAGTTGCTAGAGAGAATTGCCGTATCGTCTGCAAATGTGAATGTGGTGAGTTCGGGATGAGATGGCATGTCAGATGTAAAAACCTGGTACAGTGTAGGGGCTACCCTGAGGAACACCAGCATGGACAGAAAAATATGAAGAGAGGGAATGGCCTTCGATGACTTTGAAGAATCGGTCAGTGAGGTAGGTGTGCAGTACCTCTGATGTGAGAGATGTGGTATAAAAAAGTAAATTCCTAACATTACGGTAATTGCTAATCTATTTGACGCAAAATTTATTTAATTAATTATTTTAACAAAGCTCAAAAATTAAATTCACTGGAAAACTCAAGGTAGGCTCTATATTATTTTAATATTTTAGCAGTGTTTGAAAGCCATCGACGATTAGTATTTAAAGTTTCATTGTACTTGTATAGTTGAAAATGTCGAACATATATACAAATAAATACTGATCACAGTAAAAGATCAGAAATCTTCTCACCCAATTCGTGAAGTCGATCTTGAAAATCCGTGGTCAATGGCAGAATTGAACGATGCTATTGGATAATTGCTAATAGCTTACTATATATGCTGACAATTTTATTTTGTTTAAACGAAAACAAATGTTTCATTATTGTACTATGTTTTTAGTGTAAAACAAAGTAGCGAAATGGGAAAAAATGTCTTCTTCAACAAAACATCCTTTTTAATTCTTGTTTGGTTTTTACACGTCGTAACCAGTTTCGTATTTAGCGAAGTTCATAGCGCCTCTGACGAAAATTCAAGCCGGGACGATGTGCCGTTCAATACCTGCACGAATCCTTAAGACTTCGAGCTTGTTAACTTGTGCAAATAAGTTAATAAAATTACCATATTCAATTTGTAAAAAAGCGCCCCTATCTTGCCGGTGCCTTTTTTGCTTTAAGGCAGTTTAAAAAATAGTGCCTTCCCACTCCAAGCAAAAAAAGAGGCGAAAAATTGTAGATTCATATCGACTCCGAAGAGATGTAGATTACGCGACACAGAACACGAATACACGAAAAGGACCTTCAAGTAAATAATCAAGAACAAAAAAATTAAAAATAAATTACACCCTATTTAAAAAGAATTCAACGTGTTAACAAACAAGTATATTAAAAACATTTTTCCAAGTTATAACTAAGCATTATAATGATTAATGACTCTTGACTGTTTTTTTTTCCAGATAAGAATGTCGGCAAATGACATAGCAACGATAAAAGAATGGCTGTCGAAACAACAACATTTGCCAGATGTCGGTAAGTACTCACCTTTTTCTATATATATCGTGAGTGTTATTTTTCAAAAGCACGGCATGCACAAAACACTCTAATTACAAGAACACAGAAAATATTATATTAACATATAAAATATTAAACCAATTATCAACAACTTTAAAAAAAAGTTTATTGTTTTATTTTATTTTCTTTATAGTGATGGAATAATTAACATATTATTAAATAATCAATTTGTTTTCGGTAAATTGGGATGTTTAGAAAAATATTAAAATTTGTATCGTGCCTATAATTGTAACGCCTGAATACGCGTCCGATGCAATACCGCACAGCACTGAAGATGTGCTTACTGCCTAAAAGTGAAAGGATTTTTTCTTTTTTTATATTATCAAATAAATGTTAGAAAAATCATTTTAAATCAGAAAAACAATTATAAAATGAATGCTATAAGAACGGTACAATTGCTTCTCAAAAATAAAAGATTGATTTTACAACACCATAATAAGCCGGTATGGACTTATGGGCAGGAAGTCTTCAGAAAAGCATGCCACCATACGCCGCATTCAAACTGCCCAATCCTTAATCCTACAAAAAATACTAAATGTATCGAACCTAACAGTACATGCAGACTTATATATCCCTTTCGTACAAGATGAAATCCGTTCCCATTACCGCAAATTTCACAAAACCCTCCCAACTACCGAGCCGGGAACATACTTACCCGATGCTACATGACGCAAATCCAAACTCCGATTTTCTATAAGGTTGCATTACCCCGTGCACATCTGCCTGATGCTATGCCACGCTAACCAACTCACGATCCCCACTGACCAGATTTTCGTCCGGTCGCAACGAGTACAGTCGAAACAGAACAAAAGAACCGGACACTCATATTTTTATTCAAACTATAAGTATTTTTGTCGATATATTAATTACATCATACTTATTTTAATACAAACCAAATTAATCGAGATCAAAAATTTATTAGTTTTTATTTTTAAAATGAATTTTAATGGTTTGGTAGAAAATTGATCAAATCACCGGAATACCATTTTTTGATATAATGAATTTAACTAACAATTTCTTACACGGTTCTGCTCATAAAATTTAAATAACAATTTATTTCATGGTTTTGTTCATACAATTAAGCCGGGAACTCGAAGCCTTGCCACGTTTTGGTGGGGTGTGCTCATCTATCCGACGCAAGCACACGTCGCGTACAGTCCACAGCGTTTATCACTACCACAATCGCAACGCATCTTTTGTTCTTAATGCACTATTTTGAGCAAAACCTTGTAATAAATTGTTAGTTAAATTTTATGAGCACAACCATCTAATAAATTGTTTTAAATAACGTTACTCCTAACCATCATAATTAAACAATGTTTATAAAAACTTATGAATTTTTGATCTCGTTTAATTTGGTTTACATTAAAACATGTTGTATGTTAATATAACGAAAAAATTACATGTACTTAGTTTGAAATCCTGTTCTGATGCTACCCGACGAAAATGGTGTAATTTTACGAGAAAAAATTTGAAATAAATTGTTAATTAAATTTTGTGAGCAAAACCGTATACCGCAATTGCAGTATATGTACCGCCGAAGCGAGTACAATAAATTGTTAGTAAAATTCATTATATCAAAAAATCGTATTCCGGTGTTTTGATTAATTTTCTACCAAACCATTAAAATTAATTTTTTAAATAAAAACTAATTAATTTTTAATCACAGTTATTTGGTTTATATTAAAATGAGTATGTTGTAATTAATATAACGACAATAATTTCATGTAGTTTGAATAAAAATATGAGTGTCCGGTTCTTTTGTCTTCGACTGTACTCGATGTGCGACCCGACGAAAATCTGGTCAGTGGGGATAGCAGAACGTCGGGTAGGTTAGCGTGGCATATCATCGGGTAGATGTACACGGGGGTAATGCAACCTTATGGAAAATGGGAGTTTGGATTTGCGTCGGGTAGCATCGGGTAGCGTCGCATGGCGTAGCATCGGGTAAGTGTGTTTCTGGCTAAACACCATTTTCGTCGAGTAGCATCGAGTACAGTCGAAGACAAAATAAACCGAACCCTTATATTTTTATTCAAACTACATGTATTATTGTCGTTATATTAAATACAACAGACTTATTTTAATACAAACCAAATTAACTGAGATCAAAAATTTATTAGTTTTTATTTTTTTAAATTAATTTCAATGTTTGATAGAAAATTTATCAAAAAAACGGAATACCATTTTTTGATATAATGAATTTAACGAACAATTTATTACACGGTTTTGCTCATAAAATTTAACTAACAATTTATTACACGGTTTTGCTCATAAAATTTAACTACAATTTTTTATTACATTGTCTTGTTCATAAAATTTAACTAACAATTTATTACACGGTTTTGCTCATAAAATTTAACTAACAATTTATTACACGGTTTTGCTCATAAAATTTAACTAACAATTTATTTCACTGTTTTGCTCATAAAATTACAATATTTTCGTCAAGTAGCGTCAGAAGAGGACACTCATATATTTTATAGTTTTTCCAAATTATGTATATGTAATTTTATCGATATATTAAATACAACATTTTTATTTTAGTACAAACAAAATTAAACGAGATCAAAAATGTATACGTTTTTATAAAAAAATATTTAATTATGATGGTTAGGAAGAAAATTTATCAAAATACGGGAATAACTTTATTCAAAACAATTAAGTTTAACAAACAATTTATTACATGGTTGTGCTCATAAAATTTAAGTAACAATTTATTACATGGTTTTAAATAGACGAGTTGCGATTGTGATACTGATTTGTGATACACGCTTTGTGGCTGTACGTGGCGTTTGCTTCACGTCGCATAGATGTGCACACCCAACCAAAACGTGGCAAGGCGTCGTGTAGCATCGAGTAACGTTGCATCGGGGGTTCCCTGCTTTATACTTTGACCCCAAGCATGTCGATCGTGTTTCTTAATATTTCTTCCGTTTAACTTTTTTATGCACATTTCTTTCGATCTGTGAACAAATGGTAGAGGCTTTAGATGAATCAAAATCTGTTGCCGTTCATTATATCGTAAGACGATTTGTCAAAATCGATATAACTTAAGGTCGGCTCATTAGTGGCCTGGGCAATGTGCGATGGGCAATAAGGTGTGGGGGCGGAACAAAGGGCCGGTGATTTGGAGCGTCTGGCCCGCCGATAAATAAAGAGTCAGGGGGTTGACCGTGATGTGAATTTGTTGCACCCCTTATTGGGGGCGCCGCTCTTTGTTGCGCACACATACGAGCCTCTTTCTCTTTCTCTCTCCTCCCTCCTCGCCCACCTTCTCGCTCTTTCTCGCTCTCTGACACACTGGCACAATGGTATAACGGTTTGATACGTGTGGCCAATCGGGATTCTTCATTGGTTATTCGGAGGGCGCACGAGCTGCGCACACACGACCCTAAACTATTCCGTCTACTCGCCACCGATTTTATACCAGTCGGCGGTGATTTTATAAAACGGGGAAAGTTTTATTGCCAGCCCGTCGGCGATAACACACATTCTTTTCCCTCCGCTCAGTTCGCATTCACGATTTCTTTGAATTTCTTCTAAGGCGATTTCCAAGGCGGAAGATAAAACTTAATACATACCAAAAGCAAAGTCCGTTCAACAACATCACTAAAATTCACAAAAAACTAATTTCTGTAATTAATTTGATCTTTAATATAGCCATAATTGATTTGCATACGAAATTTCCAGGCTTGACTTGATTCGTAAGAGCGGTAATTCGAATTGTGAATCAGAGCAGAACTACATCCACTCTAACAAATACCACCCTTACGTCCAAAGGGAGAAAATATTTAAACATAAATCTCCCTAGAGAAATATACAAAATAATCTCGTTACTAGTAAATGAGTTATAAATTATCAAAATTCAAAATTATATTTCCATATGAAAAAGCGATCGGGATGAGGCTAAATTTGTAGAAAACGTACCCATGTAGAGTTTTCGAGGGATTCACTTCATCAAAACATTGAAACATTAATTACCTAATAACTCAAAAGGTTAACAACTATAAACATCACCTGAAATTGGTTTAGGACTTATACAAAATATAAGCCGCTTTGGCGTTTCTTGACAAGTAAGATAGGATAGAACCTATGAGTGGGATTTCACCTCTCCATTGAAAATGTTAATAAATATCAATGTACAATTTTGAATTTTGAAACCTACGGTTTCAACTGCAATTGCCATCATGTATTTGTTAGTTTAATTATAAGATATATTTTTTAGTACATTGCACTCGACCTCATCCCTAATTTTTGAAAATATGTTGACGACTGAATCAGATCTATTAGAATATACATATACAAATAAACATAACATGCACATGCTCACAGTATATACAATTTTATATACCATCAACATTTGACCCGTCCGCCGATGTAACATCTTTGTTCAAGGCTCGAGCCTACACGCTCCCTATAAGGGGCCAAGGCATGGCACTGTTCGATGATATGTGACACACTGAACAACCTATATCTACAAAAGGGACACCGCGGGTTTTGACTCAAAAACGGGTGTACGTGTATCAAACAGAGCCGTCATCATCTCGAATCGTCCCGAGTTCGTGCCAGATCGCATGAAGTTCTCCCGTGAACACGTCGGAGTGCTGACGGAAGGTCCGTGAAACGGACGAACCCTCGTCACACACCGGCAGGCCACACCCTCGCTGGTTCTCGACCCGTCCGTAAAGTGGAGCTAATTCCAGCCTGAGTTCTAAGAACGAAGTTCGGTAAAAGTGCGACAACATACACGACCAGGCTAATATCTGGAATTTGTGCCAGACGTGTACGGTCGGGAGGACTCATGTTGGTTTCGGTCCGTTTCCCAGCTCGAATACCATCCCCCAGAGATACCCGCTGAATTTCTAGTGGTAGCGGCCTAGTCCGAATTCGCTCGTATTCTTGGCCATACTTATTATTCAGGGCCAATCTAAGTTCTCGCTTTCAGCATGGTCAAA